CCTCCGTCGTACCAATTGACAGATCTCCAACCAATAGAAACACTTTCGTATCATCGTACCATCGCATGGGCCACGGGCTTCAGAAATTCATTAAATCGCGCATTCAAAACTAATATTTCGACCTTTAGTACCTACTGGTTTTTGCCGTGGTCTGCTGATAATCGTCCATAATTTTCTAGGTCCAAATCGCGAAACACATCAATGTTTTTAATAAACCAGGAAATCCCGAAAGGGGCGGCAGCACTTCACGAACAACAGAAACACTAGTTAAGCATTGCAAGCGTTTGAAGTTTTGAAGAGTACCATTTAGAACCTAGCCTCAGTCATGTCATGTTGACATGTTTGTCAACTAATGTCGTAGCGGACGCCTTGTTGCCGCTGTTCTCTTGAGCGAGACGGACTAGGATATATTTTGATGTGAAACTCTGTTGGTAAACTAACGGAGAAAAAAAATCGACGACGTCATTTCGCGCTAGTTCTGAGTTGAGGCTCCAGGTTGGGCGTCAACCGTGGATCAGCTGGTACAAATGGCACTGATTCTCCATCGCCAATGGTACTTCCCACGTCCAAACAAGCACCCTGTATCGAACCAATACATTTTGCCTAATGATCAATTAATTAACCTAGCATTAGAATAGCCGGGACTAATTAGGGAAAAAAGCGGGCGGCACTTTCAGCGCAATTCGGTGCCTTTGTGGTGCGTTTCTTGTGCCATTCCCTGCGATTTTTTCCATTAGCTAAGGCCGTTAAAATGCTTTCAAACGCCGCGAACAATTAACGGCCTTAGAAGGTCCGGTGCGATGCGCCCATGGGGACTCTTAAAATTGGCGTCGTTGCCGCAACTTTGCGCCTTTGCGCCGCTGCTTTTTTTGCGCTTAATGGCGTAAGTGAGAATTTTTTTCGCGCACGCAAAATGCGATGGTAGGGCGCAGCCGCCACAGGGTCTTCCGCGGCTCGTATATGATGAAAGTCCATTTAATTTCCTGTCCAATCCATCTCAATTATAACGGTCGGTTTTCTCACAAGTGAGGATTTAATTACGTTGAGCTAATTAGTGCGGGCAACAAACAAGCGAGTAACAAACTGCACTAATAAAACATAAAGCGCGATGTCGACAATTAAATGAGCAGCGCCTCCAAGCTCAAATCGAGGATTTCGGCGCTGGCTTATTAATTAGTGCTGACATGATTACATATTCAATTATTACATTCTCTCTCGTTGGGTACTTTGTTGTTTACAGAACGCGCAAGGTCGAGCTCCATGTAGAACCATTCACCCCCCATGCGAGGAGTACGTTTAGCAACCGTGATTTGTTGAGCATTTAATGCGGCAAAAATAAGGGAAAGGATTACTTATCGATAATCGCAATCGTTTCAAATAATTGAATCTGCTGTCTTTATAGTGGAACGTCGTGATTTACATTATTCGCGTACAACTTTAATTTTCCGGCCGCTCGCAATCATATTTACGTTTTCGGACTGGTCTAGTTAAACCTGCAAATTTTTGCACTTGAATGGGCGTGGTCTTCAATGGCCCGGGGATTTAAGCCTCCAAATTGTCACGAGAGCGGGCGGTTAAGGATTTCACTTGTCAAGAGTTTGACGTTTTGAGTCTTACGTGGCATGTACGTCCCTATGTAAGGAGCGGCGTTCTTATAGAAAGAGAGAGAGAGAGAGAAAATTAGAAAGATATTACTATATATTTACCGAGTTATTTAAGATATCGATAAAATAAATTATTTCCGATTTAAAATGTCTACCAAAAATCAGTTTACGATTTCTAATGTTGAAAGAATAAAAAAAATATTACTTAAAATAATATACATTATAGTTTGAATAAATTTTACGTAAATAAAAACATGGTAACAATATGCGCAACGATATAAACAAACAAAATTAAATTTAATTAACCATTCTAATGTTAACTTAGCCCCCTCTAAAATGACTAGGAGAACACGCTGCTAAAATATTTTAACATATTTACGGAACACCCTGTATAAGTAACAATTATAAAGAAAATCAAACACAATTTTAGTTTATTCACTGGGGTACCATGATTTGTACGATAATGTTTATTGAGATTTCCCTGTGTTGAAAAGCGTTTTTGACAAATACTGCAAACATTGGAAATAGACATAACTAATGATATAAAAGTTATTATTTGTACGTTATTACGACAGAACACTGCTACTACTTCGACACAATCAAATCAAAGCGTGGTCAGACATAAACCAAACCACTTCATGTCCCACTTTTAACAGTTCTAACCTCACCTTTTTAAGATTTGACACTTGATACGATACCTAACATAACATTAGATACTGGCAACGTTGTATTCGAAGGGGGCTACAATTAGCCGCTTCTGAACAATTTGCATTCGAAATTTCCAATCTATTAGGTGACATTTGTGGCGACTCACTGACAATGACAGTTCGTTTTTATTGGTCATATGAACGATTATGTCTGTGTCGAAAAATTGTAGAAAACATTAATATTTCATTTCACGATTCTTTATAAATTGCGCGAGTGCAAGAAAGGGCGTGGCCTAGTAAAATTAGTTTGACGTTTGCGCTTTTACGTACATCTGACGTTTCACGCAGTAAACATTAAGGAATCGTGGTAATTTTGAAGTTTATCCTTTGACGTTTGGAGTGAACAAAGTGCTGATCTTGTAGGAAAATTAATGTCAAATTTTTTTAGGGGTTTTTGAGCGCTTTGCGCTCATTGAAGTTTGCGATTTTTCCATTCAAGTCAAACGAACTTAGTTTTTATCCCGAACACTTGCCCCAGCCAAAATAAATACGTTAAAACCTTAAATATAAAATGGTATGGGCAAGATATAGATTTGGCAAATGCGCGATTGCTGTGACAGACCGCGTGGACATCATGGTGTCATTTGTTATCTTATGATCTTAGGGAAGAGTCGGAAATTTTAATGACATGAAATACACATTTCACGTCTATGTCAATTTCCCACAATAGTATTGTGTAGTTGTCAGGGAAGTTTCTACTGAATTTAATTTTTCAAAGGAGGAAGCATTAAAACTTGGTCGATCCTGATCAAAACTAATACGAAGTTGCCTACTTTGTGACATTTTTGGCAGGCGTCCGTTCATTAAAATATATGAAATAAAATCGAAAAGAAAATTATTATTGTACCGAATCAGATTCTTCTTGAACGCGTTTTTTTTCAATCAAATTGCATTTTTTTCAAGTTGTTAGGATTTCTGACGGTCAAAGGGCAAGTTTACCCGCGTTTGTCCGTCATCAGACTGTCACTCGATAAGACAGGCAGGTTAAGCAACATCAGTTTTGACAACAGTTGATTTGCAGTGTTGCCCCATTCGACGTTTCATGCTGTAGTAAGCAGTAAGAAATCGCGTACGTTTTATCGACGCTATTGCCCCATTAAACGGACGTTAGGAAATGATCGTCCGTACTGTCACTGCGAAGAAGTCTCAATCTTTCCCGTGGCAATTTTGCCATTACCGTTTTTATGCGCAACTTGATTGCCAGTTTGATTGCGCCGTGATTGATGGGCGGCAATTTTCAAATACTCCCCGAACGGAAATGGTAATTGGGCAGGAAAAAGTTCAAGCTTGATTCGATTGGCGCAGTTAATCATTGATGACCGCTACAAGTCGCGAGCAAACCGGCTGACAGGCAGGCAAAGAATCGGCATTTTCGCCCAAACAACCCGGACATTTAACAAACTCATTTGCACACGCCGGATGCCTCGGCATTGATTAGCGCTTTATGAGGTGGCAATAATTCTTTGCACATGAATCGATCGGCTGGGATTATCAGAAATTCGCCCAGCGACACGAATGATGATGCAATTATGGACAGTGTATTGCAAAAAATTCAATATTGCCAAAACAACAGTGTTGCCAAACTTTTCCGATGTTTTTGAAGCATCCTGTATATTAAAGTCAATAGGGGAAACAATGTATTTGACTGTCAGTGACTTTCACTGTCAGTCAAACATTGGCTTTCGAGTAATGACAAAATTGTCGAGATGAAGTCAAAGTCACATAACTGACAATTTACACAGACGAATTATCAGAGCGAATTTTCATATATTATATTATCCTACTATTGTTATACAATTTATTAACATACGCTTTTTTAGGTTCATTTAGGT